AAATAAGATTTTACCAATCTCCTTTTATTTATTATGTTTCTTTTAAAACCTCCCGAATTAAGCCAAAGCAATTTTCTCCAACCGCAATATTTAGGAAATTACAAACAATAAATCTCTTACCAGTCATCAATCAAATATTTTTTCGCGAATTCTACACAAAATAACTTCAAATCCTCAGTCTATACTTAGAAACCCATAAATCAAAAATGTTCGAATAGATTCGAATTAAAGGAAGATTTAAAGCCCATTACGAAGTAAAGAATTCAGCGATTTTAATACAATCAAAATCGTTTATAATGGAATCGCCTGTATTACATTCTGATTTTTGCATTTTCTGACAATTTAATTCGCGAACATAATTGCTTGATGGATATGCATCCATCAGGATCCAGATAGTGGATATTTTAATATCAAGAAAATAAGTGGAGCTGGTAATAGTTGACTAACAATATCTGAAGAAAAAACATCAGTAGAGGAAAAATTAATTTGAATATCGTATATGCATCAGTAGAGGAAAATAAAATAAAAACATCTTATACATTTATTTATTATTGAGGGCACTTGGTTTGTTAGCAACATCAGAGGTTATGTCCTCAACATCCCTTTCATACTAGATGTCATCAAGAAAAGCAGTTTTAATGCAACAATGGCTCATTTACCTGAATTTAATCTAAAAGGAGACCTCAATAACCTGACTACAGATTTAATGTAAAAACTGTACCCTCAGTGGAACAAAAGTCCTACCATTTCTAGATGCGTTTGATTTAAAAGGAAAATTCTGCAATTGCTCTGATTATTGTATAATGTAAAAGAGAAAAAAGAATAAAATAATTATTACAGGGGTCAATAATAAATATCAAAATTCACCATTAGTAAACCAAGAAGAGTTTATGAAATTGTTGGAAACATCTTTCCTCAACAGGCAATATCTAAGTAACATTCGCCGTGCGGTTACTTCATAATTTCCGCGTTTTTTTTCTACAAAAGCATTGTCTTCTCCTAAAAATGTATCTCAGTGATTTTGTGTGGAAGTTTGCATGTCGATGCCTATCTATAATCTCGTTCCAGATTCCATTATAAAATTATATGCCGGCAGAACGCTCGGCTGGAGCATTTGATTGCGATGTACGCGACTTTACCATACCATGGTCGACTAGGAGAACAATCTTCTGATAAAATTCCAAATATTAGTGATCTTCTGTGACCAAAAGTAGTAATAGTATTTTTTATTCGGTAACTGAACTGTTTTAGAAATTGATAAAAATATTTGTATCACGGTAAAATCATAAGTACGATTTATAAAATACTATAAGTGTAGTACATTTCCTAATCATCAATGTTGATTCCATATTTGACTTCTGTGATGTTGAATGTCGCTGGGCCCTTGTATATTTTTATAGACTGAACTTTAAGCTCAACTTTGTCATAAATATCTCATAACGATATCTAGATATGCAGATTTAAATAAAAGTCAAGCATAAATAATTTAATGCAGCTATGATTTGCTTCGGCGTCGCCCCCTGGGATGATCCCAGATATCGCGGGTCATTGCTCAATTTTAAATCGGGCGCGCGCAAAATATTATTTTATACACATGAGTAATAGAAAATTTGACTAAATTGTATGATTAATAAAAGTAATAACGATACAGTTTCAAATAAAAATTTGTTTCTGCAATTTTACTAAAATATTTGTAAATCCATTTCCTAAAAGTCTATTTCATGGATCAGATTCTATCTTCCCTCTACTAAAAATTTGCATACGATCAGCTAGTGATAGTTATCAAAACAGCCGACGTTTCGACATCATAACTTCAGTCGTTTGTCTCTAAACAACATTTCGTCGTGCGAAATGCAAACAAGGACACTATCCCTTGCAGGATAATCCGGATGACATTAAATTTGAATTTACCGCACACGTAAATGTTTTCGACCCTTATGGTAATGAGATCCTCAAACTGTATAATAAAATAGTATATAAATGGAGAAAAAATATTTAAAAGTTTAGAAAGACACATGTGTCTAGTTGGTGATTACAGCTTACATCTATACAAAGCGATTTTTTTATACAAATTCATAGAGATTAGAGCTTGAGTACATACATAGAAATTCTTCATACAAACTCTTATAGAAATTACAGCCATGCATAAAAAAATGTTCATACAAATTCGGAAAGATTACAGCTTAGATTAAATTATTAAATATTTATTAATGTATTACAAAATTCAATGCATCTCAAGATTATTGACATTCAATTTGTATAGAAGAAATTGAGAGATTTTTACAAAAATAAGCGTACAGAAAGTGAAAAATGTAAATTAAAAATTCGAATATTTGTGATTTTACAGTAATATTTAGCATTTTTCAATTTGTAAAAAATGTTATGTTTTAACCCTTTCCACTCGCGCAATGCAAAAGTAATACGTATTATGACGCCGGAGTGGCAGAGGCAGCATGCGAGTGGCAAGAGTTAATTTATATAGAACGTCTACTTATTTTTACAAGAGTTCCATAATTTCACAATTTCATTATTACATTATTACTTTTTCATAAAATTATTTTAAAGTTTGAGAATTTGAACTAATAATCCCGATTCAAATGAAGCAATGATACACCCAGAGTATTATAACCCACATGTAAAACTTTATAATCGTTCTACTTGCAAAAGGGTGAAATGAATATTTGGGACTTTTCGAACAGATGTCGTATCAAAAGTTCAAAAACATCACGCTGATTGCGATGATTGGCTATTAAAGTGAAATTTAAGTGAGAGACTATCAATTCGTTTAAATTTACAATAAATTTTTCAATAGGATATATGGAGAAGAGCCTAAAAAATATATTTCTAACTTTCAACAAGTAAAACGTGGTTTAGGAAAAAATCAAACGACAACGTGGTTGGGCACAATTCTAAATAAAAAGTTTGTAATGGAGACAAAAAAACACATTATTTAAAACATTTTGAACAGATCTGAAGTTTCTAGAAATTTAGTTACTTTATAATTTATTCAAATGGTACAACCATTTTTATTGACTTATAACACCCACATTTGAACCCATTTTTTTCAAAAATGGTTAGTGTGATTATTCTTCACAATATGCAAATCTAGTACAATGCTTCTTGGCGCAACATAGTAAATCCAATAAAAATCAACTTGATTCATATGAAAGTATACTAAACCATTCTTGTGAATAAACAAAAATCTAATTTGTTAATGCACCGTCGACTAATAGAATTCTCTAAAATTTTGTATTAAATTGTAACTGAGTTTTAAATGGTTTTTCAATCATTTAATAAAGTTTTCTTAACGACACTTGTAAAAATCAAATTAATAACGCTTGAAAAAATATGGAAAATTAAACAGTAACACAAATATACAATCAATTAAGTTAGTTTTTTCTACAAATGATTTTTTACCATGAAACCAAGAAAATTTTGTTGCCACGAATATTTTAAAGATTCCCTTACAAAAGCTTGCACAAGCCATTAAAAAAGTTTTTATCCTTTTGAAAATTTCCAGACAGCTATTAACGCATTTAAACAAGCGTGATATTGCTCGAGTCCTGGAATGGGCCCCCAAAATGCCAAATGTGCGCAGGACGAAAACGATTTAGCCAAGCTAGGATGCGCAGGTCATTCGATTTAAATTTTGACTATTAACCTTATGTTGAACCTTTGAGATAAAATATTTGGAATGCAAAAAAACATTGAGAGTAAATCAAGTTGAGAGATAATTTGTGCCAGAAGAAATGTCAGCAGTTGTCCAGTGTATAAGCCATCAGGACATTATTTTTAAACAGTAAATTCTTGTACATAGGTAAGTTAAATCTCATACTTTTGTTAGCTAATCATTTATAAAAAAAATCAATGTTAACTTGGAGCAAGTCCTTAAGTTTCACTTTCTCTAATAAATTCACCCTGTATTTTAGCAATATCACAATATATTCTACTTTTGCAATGATTCTTATCGATTGTTGCCGACTTATAGGTGCAAAAGTTATCAAAGAGTCCGTTCTCTCTGTGTTACATATAAGGTGTTTGGTTTAGATTACTAAACCTGTAATCATACATAATTGGTCACCTATTATGCAACTCTTTACTCTTTGTAATTACATGTATTTATCTGCAGATTACGATTATGGTAATATTGTAAATGATACTGAGTTGTAATGGGTATAGAATAAAAATGTACACAAAAAAATTCATTAAGGTTAATATGATAACATTCATATTTTTTTACATTTTTATAGTCAATCTAAATATGTGCCTAAATCCACCAATTCAAAATAGCAATAAAAACAACTGTTAAAAATTTATTGTTTATAGTCTACGTTTTGGATTTGTCTTGATGTTCTTAGACTGTGTGGCATAATTGCTCCTAGTTTTCTAGAATTAATACTAACTGCTAAAATATAAATTTATAATATCCAAAATAAATCGTTTTCAAAAGGCCCTCTTCAAAAAGAAAATGAACCGAAGTGTATAGGCAAGTTCTATCAAAACTCTAATTTTATTACATTAAAAGTTTGCTCGTGCAATCGGTATTGTAAAATGGTAAAATAAATTTTCCGCAAAGAGTGAAAGTAGATTATTTTTTTATTCAAACCTTTAATGTAAGCCGTTTATTACATAATAAAATGCAACAAGATTTATTTTTCTAACAACCTTATTCGATATCACACCCTATAATCTATAATTTACTTTTACATAGTCGTAGTTAAACATTATTTATATTCTATGGTCGTTTATTAAACACCGCAGGCTTACTTGCATACAAGTATTCATCAAGGCGATAATGTGTTATATTTAATTCCGTGCATAAATTTATCTCGCAGATCTTAGCATAAATATGTAATTAAATATTTATGCATTTGTTTATTAATATTTCAATTACCCCGACGACAAAGTAATGAAAATGATCAGTAGCGCCAGATAATTGACTTTTGATTACGTAAAATCAAAAGTCTTCTATCATGCAAGATAAAAATAAATTCACTTACCTTTTCGATGCACATTCTTCAAATCAATACAAGATCCACAGGAGTCCCTTTCACAGTAGCGGCGCGAAGCACTCCATGGGGCGTTGACAGAATCACTCGGGGGTCCACAAGAAGCAGTAGCCCCACCCGTCGGCTGAGCCCCCCGCGGACGAAATATCAATTCCCGCTGGGCCATGCTTCTTGGGAAGATCAACTATAAAATAAAGATAATTGGAATTAGTAATTGTATCGGTAATAGATAGATCTATTATAGATTATATTTTTGAACCTACATATTTATTTAAATTTGTATGATTTTTTTATCATTTCAAGGACTTGGGTATCCCTATTTTTTAACTATAAATAAATAACTAAAATCTAATATAGGTCAATAATCTATTTTATGAATGCAAGTCACGCACTGTCATTATTGGCGATTAACAATATTTATCTCCTTCATCCAAAAGGACTAATTTTAGGCATAGCACGTGCATCCGATTATTATTTAGAGACCTTGACTTACAAAATATCTTATTAATTTGCAGGATTTAGCTCAAGGACTTATATGAAATTTGAGCAAAGGAAATTAGGGGCACGCTAAGGTATTTGGATAAGATGAATAAAGCTAGGAACGAATGCCAAGCATTATTCCTACCTGGACCCATTTATAAAAAAAAGTTTTATTCAAAAATAATTAGTTAAAATTATGAACTTCTTCAAGAAAGTGTTTTTGCCAATGTGTTAATTTTATGCTATCCCAAAGTCATTCTGAATCACTTGAGACCAAAATTGAAACAAATGTATCCAAAATCTAAAACAATTTTAATCAATTTGTGATAACTAATACTCAGTAAAGATCAGGTATGAGAATGACTCAATAACAAACAAAATATTGGCATCAGTACTTATATGCAAAGTGTCTCTAATTGATCCAGCATGTCCAAATTTTAATGCATTACTGAAACTGCAACAAAAAGCTGGTCATTGCAAGCCTTCAACCTCAGCCTTATATGTATTTTAAGGAGCACTACCCTAAGGTGTTTTCCAAAGTATTTAACATGGTCTTTTTTGTCGGAACAAACTATATTACCATAACGAATTGCCAATAGCTATATGTCAGTGAGTTCGGAAGCGCCGACTGTCTATACATGATGAATGTTCTTCTAGTAAGATTTCCCATGTAATTACATCTATATACAAGAAATATTGCTGTTTGCTTAACGCTAAATGTCGAACGTTTCTGAACACTTGGTATTTGATTTGGTAGGATGTAATTGTTAATAAAATATAAGGGCAATAAATACCATAAACGTATAATATTAAATATAGGCATATTGATGTCTTCCTTAACTTTGCAACTGGTTGAGGGTATAAAGGTCAAAAAATCCTCATGGCCAAACTAAGGAAGTGTCTTATTCATTTATTGGACGTTTATATAATCAATTTTTCCAAAAATGTGAACGTCTGTTAAGTTTATACCTAGCATTTTATCTCATCCTTTATATTTTTTTCCATTTCCCATTACAAACTCATTTCCGTTGATGGTAGTCAACTTTTATAGCTTTTCTGTCGCTTTTCGCGACCAAGAAAATACAAAAAATATCAAACCGTCCTCAGTTTAGAAATATAGTGACGATGTTTTTTATGATACGACCAAGTGCCAACACGTGGGCAGTTCAATGTGTATTTTACAGTCGAATGATTTAGTATCTTGACGTTCGCGCCATTCAAAAAGACATTCAAATGACCCCCGAAGGCTCGTAAAACGCTACTAGGAGGTAGGGATGGCAATTTATAACTGAATATCGATATATCAATCATATTTAATGGATAATTGAGGATAATTTGACAAAATCAAACTAATAGAGAAATTCAGGTAATGGTGCAGAAATAGAAGACTTGATATAAACTGGTCAATAGTTTTCTTTGCTGTTTGACCAATCGTTTTCACAATATTAATTTTAAAACCAAACCTCAAAATGGCACAGTTACGAGTGCAACTTTTTATTGTGGCGTATATTCTCACTTTTGGACCAGTTTGAGGGTAGGTTTTAAAAGTTTGTATTGTGTAAAACAATGGATCTAACAGCAAAAACGGACTTTTGGCAGTTTGTGACTACAAACTCAAGACCGGTAACATAATTATTTTAAACCAGAATCGGCTCCTAAAACCTTATACCAAAGACTCGCGTAAAATAATTATGACATTTTTCCACAGGGTAACTTAGAAGTAATTTCTATGGTCTTCAAAAGATAATTTGGATGTGGTCCATTAACACACGAAATATTTTTGCATCCTCAATCTTTCTACATCGATCTTCTTATAATTACACCGACCATATTACCATCGATCTGTCTACCCTAGTTGGAAGGTGTGTCTGCAGGTCAGTTCGGCAGAGTGATGAGTCCGGCCGAAGATATATTAACAATAAAAAAGGCTATGATCTCTGTTTGAACACTCCGGGTTATGTGTTTAAAATTGGATTATGCGCATGCTACACTTTTATGGAGACGAGTTATGCTGGAAAATAAGAATGCACAGTCCATGAATATTAATAGATTTGCTCTTACACAGAATCTGTATCAACAAGCCTAGTTATTGGAATACTCATTGGAGTACTTATAAGTATGTACTAGTTAGATACTTTATTAGTGTAAGGACTATTATTTTTTAAAAAATTATAGAAATAACGTATATTAAAAATTCGAAAAATGAAAATAATCAACAATTGTTTTGAATAATTTCAAATACATTATCTACATATATATAAAAATAAGTCGGGTTTTCCTTCCTGACGAAATAACTCCAGAACGCACGAACCGATTTCGACAATTTTGCATTCTTTGGAAAGGTCTCACATAAATCCGCAAGGTTTATAGCTAAGAAAATTAGTAGTGCGTAGCATCGTGCTTAATGCAAATTGCTGGAACTTCACGCATCGTAATTGAAAATTCGAGTAATGACATTAGTAAGAATTATCAGAATTATGCTTGGTTAAGTCAACGAGCAATTCTTGCCGCAAAGAATAATGATGTACACGCGCTGAATTTCACCATTCAATCAAAAATTGCTTGCGATTTGGTGACATACCAATGATTCCGACTGGTCTTTTGACTTCAAACGATTGCAATTTCCAGTTCGCAATAACAAGTCGCAAGGCCAATCGCTTAGTGTTTGCGGGATAAATCTCAAATAAATAATTTAGAAAATCATTGTTTTTCACGTGGGCAGTTATACGTTGCCTGTTCACGCGTTGGGAAACCATCCGCTTTGTTTGTGTTAACGTCAGACCAAAAAACAAAAAATGTGGTTTAGCTAAGAGCACTCCAATGAAACGGATGATTTGCGGATTTACTTTCATTTACTTAGAGAAGTTCAAATAAAAAATACTTCATTTTTGTAATCGAAATAAATTCATTACTGTTGTGCAATAAAATCAAATTTTTCCTTTTCAAATATAAAACAAATAAAAAATTTCTTCATCTTTCTCACGAAACTATCTGGAGGCGAAACGGAGTTCGTCGGGTTTGCTAGTTTCTTATAAAACAATAAGCAATATGCAAAAAATTTATAATTAGTTCCTAAAATTCAATGATTCATCATTTATATAAAATTTTAAGCTCAGTTCTAAATGTCAGATATACAATCAAGGGCAAACATGTAAGAATGCCATAATATAATACCTGCAGGTATTTCGATTTTCGCTGGTTTTGTTAATAAATAAACTAAAAATTTAATTAATCCATTATTTGCTTTCGTTTATCCAGTTTGCCTTCGAAACAGATCTTAGTATCATCGAGGTGGTTGAATCCGGTAGTCTTGATAATTGAGAAGGGCGTACACGTCGTTCCGCCCAACGCGATGGTACCCCTTAATTAAACGGTAGCCCAAAAGAGGCGCGTTCAAAAAAAAATCTCCGTGTTCATAAGCCAAATTCGAATTCATGTACTAAGACCTCACCACTTCGCAAAAACCTTAAAAGTCGATTAGCGATCGCTTGCCAAACCAACGTTTTAAGGGTACTTAATTATAAATTATTTAGCATGTTTTTGCTCGCCAGATTTTCCGTTCGCGGTATGCGTCTTTTTTGCAAGCATAACTCCGTTTTGGATGATTATTTGTTGAAGAATGAGTTGTTTAAGAAATTAGTTTTTTGTTTGAATAAATGAGAACTTAATCCGTCAGCTGTTTGTTAAAATTATGAACGTGTAATTTGTGACAGGGGTAAATATAGACCGAGGACGTACAATAATTCATTTAAATACTTCATTATTTGTTTATCTGATACTAATTTTGGTACTCAAAACGGCGTTAGATAATTGGAACATGCAATTTCCTAAGGTTCCTTGACAAAATATGAAATTATTCAAAATCAGTTTTTTTTTAAATAAAAAATAGAGAGTATGAAGAACACACAAGTACGTACGTTGGTATAAAAAAATTCTATACAGTATTTTTGTGTGAAATATCGATATAACATTTTATAAATTTAGATGCAAATTTATTATGTCGAATAAAATTGATTTATCAAAAATCAGATGCCTTATCAGCTTATTTTTTAATTTTTTAATTGCAAAATAAGCAACTATTGGTATTGTTAATATTGTTAATATATGTTAAACGTGTATGGTATCTAATAAATGTTATATCTTAATAATATAGATGATGGGGCATCCATCAATCACGTGAAGTTTTTAAGAGAAGTAGAGGTTTGACAAAGTCACATTGGGGGTATAGTAAGATATCACGTGTATTTATTTTTCTATCAGTTTTTGTTTTTAAATTTAAACATTTAAAAAAAATATTTTCTTGTAACTAAAAATACACGTAATGTTTGGTGTGGAAAAGGGAGTAATTTTGAATATCATTACGTATTAATAAGGAGGAGAGAATGGATCCAAAAATCCATATGTAATTGCTCACGTGATCAATGAAAGCCCCCTGATTTCTAGCATGTCATATTTGATACACAAATATCAATCTTATTACGATTTTCTCCATATTCATTTGAAAAATAAATATAATTATGCTTATATATTATGTAAACGTGACAACAAAATTCTTGTAAAACCGACGTGTACAATAATCTTTGCAATTTATTACTTTTCAAATGTAATTATATACGAGGCGACACGCGACTGCGATGCACTATCAAATAATGCATTTTATTCTTGATGGTTTCACATAATAACTTAATCATTAGAATATATACA